ATGATTTCAGAGTATTTTTCCCCAAAGAGTCAGTGGTCCTTGTCTTAAACAAGACTGAGGGACTGAAGTGTAGAGGCTTTCTTACACTGCAAGCATCACCCTGTCCTGAGATCCAAACCTCAGTGCCAACAACCCCAAGGCATGGTGAAGCCACAATTTCCCCCAAACCCTGAGACTAGTTTACAATTCATGATCAAAACAAACAAACAAAGGTTCTTCCCATCTGCTGGTGATACTCTGAGCACGCACAGTTCACCCCAGACTTTTTTTGCCTTAGGAACTGCAATATTTAAATATTACTAATATTCACATATAGCAACATCCCTCTGGCAGGCAGAGCTGGAGGAAAACAGCCAGAAGGCTTGTAATTATAACTTGGAACTTCCCAGTTCCTTGCAGGTGAATCTCCAGTTCTGGCACTAGTAAGCCAGGCACAGGCAGAAGTATTTAGCACCAGTGGGGAAAAAAAAAAAAAGCCAAGGGAAAAAGAAACCCCTTTTTTCCCTTGAAGTGTTGCACTGAGAGGCTGGTCTGAGGAAACCACACACCTTTCTCCTATGAGAACTCCTATTTCTCTACCTGCCCCAAACACAGCACACCAGCACCACATTAAAATCTCCAGAGAAACAACACATTATATCCCCCCACCCTCCTGTTTTCTCATTTTTCCCCAATGCTGAAATGTATTTTCTCCTTTGGCATAGCACCTGGTATCAGGTACAGAGAGAATCCATCAGGTTCTGGGATTTGAAGCTCAGCTCTGCACACAAACCTCAAGGCAGGGCTGGTGCCAGTGCAAGGAAAACAGCGATTTAAATGGAAATGAGACTGCCCAGAGTCTTCCCCCTTCTCCATGGCTTTTTCAGGAGCACCTCCTTGGAGCAGAGGTGAAAAGCCAGCTGAGGAAGGTGCTGGCTGAGCTGCAGCCCCATGGCCCTTCCCGAGCAAGACAACCAACCCTGCTTCATTCCAGACCTCGAGACTCCAACATGCAATTGTTTACACAGGCATGGGCTGTTTAGTCTGGTCCATTTTACATGGAATTCTTGCCTGCAGGGAGGGCCAAAAGATCCAAGAGGAACTGCATCTGCCACAGGACAAATCCTCCCCTCCAACCCTGTGCCCAGGCACTACCACCAAAGGCCCCGGGAGGATTTCCAGTGCCACCACAGGCGCTGCCAGCCTGTCACCTCATCCCAAAGGACTCCGAAGCAGTGGGCAGGAGCGGGAAGCACTCCCAAAATTGTGTTTGCTTTGCCGTGCCCCCGTGGCAGACTTCCTGAGCAGCGAGTACCCCGCTGCCTTCTGCTAGATGTTTTATATTTAACTTGGCAGTGGGCAGTGCCATGGCAATATCCCATCTGCTCCCCCCTTTCCTGGGAGTGATGTCAGCCAGCTCCCACGAGGGTGGCTGGTGAGATTCCTGGTGCTTCCCAGCCCTGCCAGGCTCAAGCTGGGACATCCCACCGTGGCAGGTGATGGGCAGGGCTGCTGCACCCCAAACATGCCCTACCCCTAAGTGCCCACGCACCCAGAGCCTCAACGAGATCCTCCTGCCCGTGTGTTTGGAATCAAAGCTCTGGCTCACACACCATTCATCTGTTTGTGCACATGAGGTCCAGGAACGATGCCCGGGGCAGCACGTGGATGCAAGAGTAGCAAACCAGCAGAAACAGCATTCAAATGGGATGTGCAGAGAGAGGAGGAGCAGACAGGAGACCTATTTTCTGTAGGAGCTGGATTTCTGCAGCCCTTACTACCCACCTCTCCCAGGACCCCAGCACCAACCAACCCTGCCTCTCACACGACCATGAAACTCATCTGGGGAGCAGCACAGCTGCCCTAAAAACTCCATAGCAAGATTAAAAGTGCTGGAAATCAGTAGTCAGAGGAGGGAAAAGCCTAAGGGACAGGATACATCCCTGCTTTTAGCCTTTACTTTGGCCCTGGGATGGCTCCACGGCCCCACTGAGCCAAGCAAAACTGCAGGAGCAACATCACTGCAGATCTTCAGCCTCTCCTCACCCACCCTGATTTTCAGAATATTTAGGACTTGAGTCCATCTCAACAATGAGCAGCCTAGAAAGCCATAGGTTTCTGAAATGAAAGGTGAGATTCTGCTGTCTGGTGAGCAACACAGCTGTAAAAGCCTCTGCAAGTATTGCAGAACTTGCTGCAGAACCTAAAATTTCTTTTAAATGTCTTTTTAGACATCAATCTCCAACTTTTTTTAGAACTACTTGTTTTAGTGATGTCAGAGAATTTTCTCTGTAAGGCTGCATGGTACAAATTAAGTCTCTGAACCTTCAGGAAGACTCATTTTCTATTTTGGGGGACACAAAGGTACTTTTTCTTGGGGGAGTGGGATATCACAGTTACAGTGGTGCAGAGAAAGTGCCATTTTAAAAGGAAGAAAAGTTATCAGTAGCATTTCTTAAATATTCTTAGTTCTAGAAAATAGAAGGTACTTGTCATGAGGAGACAGGAGTTTAAGTACAGCAAGAATGGTAATGGAGAAACACAAGAAGTAATACAAAAACTGCTTGCCAGTGAGAGCCGCATTAAAAAACCCTTTAGGGAAATTAATTTCTCCTTCAGCTGTAATTTTTGAGCTGCAGCAACAAAAAAGGACAACTCCAGCAGACCCAGCAGCATCCTGACCATGGGATGAACTGCTTTAATATTTCAGCAGATGAAAAGCGCGAATGCAGCTCCGGTGCCCGTCTGCGGTCATGACACCAAAATGAAGTTTGGGATTTAAAAAGTTCAGTGCAAGTTTAATGGATTGCATCAACCAGCATCCAGCCCAGTGTGGCCTCTGCCTGCCAGGCTCAGCCCTCCTTCAGACTGTTTTCCACGGACAGACACGAAAGGTGCTGCCTTTTAAGTCTTTATGATGCTGGATCCTCCTGTAACGAGCTCTGTCCCATCAGGAGGGTGCTGGTACCACAGGGAATCTCTGCTGCCACTCCATCAGTGCTGCATGCACAGCATGTACAGGGGAACAACCATAAAGATGGGGAAAAAAACCCCAAAAACCCAAAATTATACATTCCTATTTCTTTCCTTAGCTCCAAAAAACGTATTGAAGACTCCACATCCTCACTGGGGTTGAGCAGAGGCACAGAGGTCAAACACTGCTGAAAAGCAATCACTGATGTGTCTGAAGGCTGAATAAGTAACAGAGCCAAAAAATGGCTGGAAACTTTGGCTTGGTAAAATTTAAAATAGAAAAAAAAAACAATAAAGGGGGGAAAAGGAATTGTTTTTTAAAGAGTCAATTTTTCATTCATTTGAAATTTTTGGTCAATCTCCATGTGATTTTCTCTTTTATTTCCATGTTAGCCTTCTGAACTCTTTTTAAAAAAAATAAAAAGCAGGCCACTTAAGAAAACAGAAATTACTGTATTAAAATAAAGAGGGCTTGAGATGAACTTTGCTTTGAAAATGTAAAACGACACATTTGGCATGGTGCAGGTAAAACATTCTGGACATGATAATACAGTGAAAGAATCCGAAAATGGGAAAACAATGTTTCTGCTATTTTAAATAACTCATGTGCTCGGATGCCCACACTCTGCTGCTGCAATGTGTGCATGGGACCGTAAGAGGAACGTAAGATTTCTGGGTGGAGCTGGGATATGTGTGGGGAGCTGGGCTCTGAGCCCCAAAGCAGGGAGGTGCCTGAGCCATCTCCACCCTCACACCAGCTGGTTTAACGTGGGATCAGGCATCCCGTGGGATCAGGCATTCCCAGCACTCCCATCCCACTACAGTGAGGACAGACCCCGAGTTGGGATCACAGCCAGAGCTCCACAGCCCCTAGAACAAGAGGGCATCTCCTTCCCAAGGGGCATCCCCCTCACAAAGCTGCCAAGAAGGGACCAAGAAGGGATCTCTCTGTCTGCTACGTGTGGTGTGTGACAAAAACAGCCCTGGGCAGCCTGCAACTGCACTGAAGGCTGGCTTAGTGAAAGATCTTAGATATCCCTCTCAAAAAAAAAAAAAAAAAAAAGAGGAAAGAAAATGGAAAAATAGAAGAAAAAACCCCCGAGCAATCCCCTTATTTGATAGTTTTCCTGCAGCAAGTACAGGTTTGATTCAGGGGAGCACAGCCCCACACAGAGCAGCACACAGCACCAGCGGTGTGTCCAGCCTGCCCTGGCAGCCTGCAGGGAAGGGGGCATGCAGCAGTGACCTTGAGGGAGCCCTATTTAAAGGGCTCTAAGACCCTTCAGAGTGAATGCCAAAAAGGAGAAGTATCTGTACAAGATATCTCTGCACTGAAGACAAAGCCACAGAGGCAGCAGTGAACAGTACATGCTCGCCCTCCAAGAAAATGTGATGCCTTTTCTCTATACATCCTTCTAAGTCTCTCTGAGCATTTGAGGAAACTGCATGAACCAATATCTGCCTTGAGGCTGGCAAGGCTTCCCCTCAAATCCCTGTCAGAGGTACAATTCACACATTTCTCCTCGGGCTTTTATGAAGCTGGGAGCCTGGGTTACAGAGAGCCTCTTGCACATCCCCTTGGAGAGATCTCTGCTTGTTTGGCTGACAGGTGATTTCTTCTCCTTCCACCATAGTAATGGCAGCAGCGCTGGTGAAAACTGCAGCAAGTTACTCAGGATTTCCTGCTTCTCTGCAGGGCAGGCAGGAAGTTTTTGTATAGCCACTTGAGACCCTAACTGGAGCCAAAGACCTGGATAGTTTGGGACTGCTAAACCAAGGCATATGAACCCCAACGAGCTGGGGGTGGTGGTTTCAGGAACAGGACATGCCAAGAACAGCCTTGTGCAGTCACTTCACTAATGTAAAATCCAAACTGCAAAACTCAGGGCAAAGTCAGAGGCTATGGCTGTCCATACCTTAGCACACACAGCATCCTAAAGAGCCAGAGGCACCCCTAAAATGCCCCCTCACCCCCAAAACAGAGACAGATGATGCCAAGGCCAAACACATCCTGGCAAGTGAGGCTGGAAGAGCAGGGTGGGACTTACTGAGGAGAGGTTCTCGTCTCGCCGCCTGCCCTGGCTGTGCCGGCTGATGAAGGATCGCGCAGAGAGTTTGTAGTGGTTCAGCAGACACGTGATCACCACCACCATCACCATCATCACCACCACGATTATGATTATCTGTACAAACTCCAACTCCGCTGCAAGAGAGACAGACAGATTTTGAGCCGTCGGGAACAGCAGCAGGTAACTGAGCACAAGAACAACTGAGGTGGCTGAGACACCACTGACAACACTGCACCCTTCCTGCTACAGCTCTCACACGTGGGCTCTGTGTGCCCTGAGCCCACAAAAACCTCATTCATTCAATTTTTCAGTGTCACAGAAGAGCCTCCAGGAGGGATCTTTGCAGACAATCTATACTGCAAAGTGTTTCCTGGCTACAGCACAGACAGGACTTCCCAAAGACCTCTTGGGTGTCCCCAGTACTGGGCACAAAACCAGGAGCATCCCAGAGCCTCACGTGCCTCTCTTGGGGCTGCAGAGCCACGAGCCAACATAATTTATCCCAATGAAACAGTTCAGCTAAATGCAAGCTAAATTTCTGCAGTTCTCTTCTCATCACTGCTACTCCTTCCTCTGGGGAGGACAGGACTGAGCCCCCTCAGCACAACCCTGTGTCCCAGGGGTCAGACAGTGGTGGCCCAGGGGACAGCAGAGCACAGCAGGCAGTGGCAGCCCCTGTTTCCAAGGCTGCCCACCACCACAGGAAGAGCTCCTGCTTTTGGGTGAGACGCCAGATGGGTGCGATGCCTCTGCCATGGGGCCACGTCCCGCAGCTCCAGACAGCCCCGGCTCAGGGCTCAGCTGACAGTGGCAGCTTGAGTGGCTTGAACTGGCAGAAGGGAAAACTGCCAAAACCCCTCCAAACAAACAAGAACAAGCAAACAACAGACTATCCGGTTAACTCTGCAGGCACTTGGCAGGAGGCAGCGAGAAGTCGCTCCTAAAATTTCCTAAGGAAATAATTCCTCACACACCTCCCTGAGGCTAAGGAAAATTGAGTGCTGGAGGCAAACATTGTGCTGGGTCATTATTTCCATGAATTTGCTGCCCAAGGAGAACATGCCATTCCCAAACTGCTCGGTCACTCCCCCCAGCCCCCAGGACTGGGCAGCAGCAACTCCAGTGCCCAGCATAAAGGAGGGGCCAGACAGCAAAATTCAATCATTCTGGGGATTTACAGCTTGTTTGCTTCTCAGCAGCAACAGCTATAAAATGGGAAAGCCATGCCCTAAGCTATCATGGATGCTGCCATCTGTATTTAATCCATACAGACACACACATACATATCTGCAGACACACAGCAAGGCCCACCAGACCTCAAAGGGCACCACTCATACCAGCTGGGGTGGCTTCTGCTGAGTCAGGCAAATTTACTAGGTTTTTCATGGTTTGTTTTTTTTTTTAATGGAAAGTTTTCTCCTGACAGGTGGCACTTGAGTGCCAGTAAAAGCAAATAAATGTCAAGAAAACAGTCCAGGTGGTGAGTGCTGCCAGTTACCTTGGAGCTCTTTCTGCTAAACAGCAGCTATTTCTGCCACTGCCCAAAATGCTCCAAGAGCTCTGCCCACTGCCTGCAGAAAGCAGAATTATGCCTTGAAAGCAGGAGCCTTATCTGGCACTTTGAGCTGGATGGATAAAGGACTTTGAGCCCAGATCCTTCCAGTACCCCTAAAATGCAGCTGCCTCTACTCTGAAAGGTCACACATGGAGTGGGAAGAAAAGGATTAAAAGCCAAACATTGTGCAGGAGTTTTGCCTTAAAAATGCTTTTTAGCTAGAATAAAAGGCAAGCTCTGGGTCTTTCACACCAACCCCAACAAGTTGCCCAGTGCCACTGCAAGAGGAACAGCATAGAATAAAACCACATTCCCATAAATCAGATCCAGCCCCAAAGCAGCACAGCTCATGTGTGGGACCCAAAAGCTGCCCCTGGTGCCCTGTGCTGGAGGAACTGAGTGGAACAGGAGCTTCTGAGCAGAACCCAGACTGGCCACAGGCACAAACACACCAAAACCAAAAGGGCTGGGAAAGGGGACGATGACAACCATTGAAAAAAAGGCACAAGGACTCTTCCCACGTCAGCCCCACTGTGTAGGGGTGTCCCTACACCTCCCAAAGGTATGTCCTGGTGCCAGCTGTAACTGAGCACTGAGAGCATCCCCCAGTGCCTGCCCTCCCCATGGGCAGCAGAGCAGCCACCCAGCCTGGGTGCAGGGCCCATCTCTTGCACAAATCATAAAAAAAAAAAAAAAAAAAAAAAAAAAAAAAAAAAAAAAAAAAAAAAAAAAAAACAAAAAAAAAACCACCAAAAAACCCCCCAAAAAACCAATAAACAAATGTTTTTAAGAAGATGAGTCACTTCAGCCTCAAAATGCAGCATATGCTTAGGCCGTGGTAAGAAAACACAAGAAAAAGTATAAATGAAGCTGGTGATGGAAAGATGGAAAACTTCCTTTTCTGTTAAAAGGGGTTATATTTCTAAAGAAAAGCAAGGCCAAAGTAGTAAAAAAGGACAGTTCCTTTCCTAGGACAAGAGAAGCCTTAAGTGAACCAAATCTTGCTAAATTGGTCCTGATGCTTCAGTGACACAGGTGAAGTTTTGACCCAGGAAACTCCTTCCCAGGTTGGGACACACAAGATGTGCCACTTACAAATGACCTTCACCAGACTTCCTGCACACACAGACACAGAACCAGCAGAGCCTGAAGAAGGAGTGGGAATTCCATCAGCATCTGGGACAACACACCAGTGTCTCATCCATCCCTCAGTGCCCTGGGACTGCTGTACCTGGGGGTTACACCAAGAGGTGCAACAGGAAGGCCCAGGATGATTACCAGAACAAAGGGGATGCTGCTTTCCAGCTGGGATGCTCCTCCTGCCCCATCTCTACCCCAAGCTCAGGTTCTGAGGAGCAGCCCAGCCTTACCATGCCCAGGAGCAAACCCATCCTACTTTAATCCCAAGAACACTCAGGTTGCCCAATCTGGCCTTTGGAAAAAAATAAAATAAAAGTCAAACCGAAAAAAACCCAAAAAAAAAACAACCAAAAAAAAAAACCCACAAAAACAAAAACCACGCACAAAAAAAAAATAAAACACAAAACAAAAAACCCCACACACTCAATTTGTGCTTTTCATGTTTCAAGAGACTCATACCCACTCGAGGCACCAAAGTTTCTGCCAGCTCCCTCTGTTTTAACTTGTCTTCATGGGCTTCTTTTCTGCAGAAAGGAAAACAAACCCAACACACTGGAAAGCTGGATATGCTCCGTAAGATTTTTATCCAAGCAGCTCAGTCAAACTAATGAAGAAAGATCATTAAAAACCCAAAGTTTGAGTTAATATGCTATTATACGAGTGCAATTCAGCTGCTATGCTAATAAAAAGCCTTTGGGGAATGAAAAACAAGCCAAACTGCAAAGCACATAATTTATAATTCTACTGGTATTCTTAAAAACACACACACAACAAAACAAGAAAAAAAAAATACTCAACACATTTTGTATTTGGCTTCCTAATCATTGTCACTTTTCAATTAGAAGAGACCTCATTCCATTTCTCTCTGTGATTTTCCCCAAGGGAAGTGTTATAAATGCACTAGGCTTTACAAGATGGGCATATTCCGCCTCCAAATGCAAAGCAAGGTCACACTAATTTAATTTTGCATAATTTTTATTCCAGAATACGTTTCAAACTAACAGGTTCAGACACCACATTTAAGTGACACAACCTGCTTTTCCGTATTTTCCGTCTAGACGCGGCAGCTCCGGGAGCCGGGCGCTGTGCGTGCGACCGTTTTGCAACTCAGCATTTTCCCCCCCAAGATTCCCAGCACCCTAAAACGGGGTTTTCGTGACCAAGGAGAAGCACTTGTCACGTCCCATTCTTCACGTTTGCTGCTCGCTTGCCACTTCCAACCACGCGTGGCCTTGAACAAGGACTTCACAGTGGGTTATGGAGATGCATCAATGAGTGATGGGGACTCCACTCTCCTGTGGTTATTTATAAGCTCATGCCTTTGCTGCCCACCCTGCTACCCAGTCACCAAGACCATAAAGCTCAGAAGTGTCTCAAATTGATGGATTTATGTGTGGGCCACGCTGCAGACCACACTCACAGCTCCACAGGAGATGCTGCAGGAAGGAGCTTCCTCGAGTCCTTACAGACAGAATACTGGCACCCACAGGTTCAAATTAATTTATATATTTACAAGGAGGGAGAGTGATTTGAGTCAATGGTGATGCTGGGAGCACCCTCACAGCCGTAGGGGAGGTGAGGCTGGGTTACACTTTAAATGCATTGCCTTGCCTTTTACAGCTACATTTCAGTTCATAAAATGCTTCCTATAAACTTTATTAACGCTCTTCCTTCCACACAGAGTATCTCTGCAGAAGACAAACTCTCCAAACCACCACAAGTATAGAAGAGAAAAAAAAACTTAAACCAAAACTTGTATTTTGCTGCAATCATTCCAGACACTCAGCTATTATTTACAGCTGGACAGAACAGCTTACAGGCAAGGTCTCAGCCAAGATGACCTATGCTTTCAGCCAGGTATAACACACATCTGCAGGTCAAACCAGTCATCCCCAAGCTTCAATTACAATTTCTGTATGTACTGGAATTGTGCATCATGTGAGAAGTGATGAGAAGAAGTGAAATTACTCAAGAGATAATGGCTAAGATGAAGAAATGTAGCTGTGCTAGCCATAACTCCTAAAGAAAGAAGTTTAAAAAAACCCTCACACTTTTAACACACTCACACAGTTACACATTCTTAACATGCTCACATGCTCTCTTACAAACTCACACACAGACTCTTACACATTCTTACACACACACATACTCTCCTTAAAGAGTGCTGTCCCTCTCAGAGGCTGTGGACAGCACAGAAGAGATGAAAGAACAAAGAACTTCAGATGGCAGATTACTCACCCTCGCTCATCTGCTAGGTCATCTCAGAAACAATCAGAGCAGGCAAAGTCATTACTGCACTATTTTTGTATTAGCATCTGCTACATTTATCTTCTAATACCTCCATAAAACCAGATACAAGGGCCCTCAGATTGTCAACAGTTGTGTTTGTTTACAAGAGAGCAAGGGAAGATACAGAATATGTTCTCAATGTTGATAGTG